ATATATATATATATATATATATTTATAGTATATAAACGGAATTGGTGTTATTTTAATAAAAAGTATGTAGAATGAAAAAGGGATATAAATATTATTTCTCATAAAAAAATTGTATTGATCCATACACTTTTCAATAAGTTATAGCATTATAAAGTTAAAAATGTAAAATATAAAATCGAGAATTTTAGTAGAATAGTTTTAATATGAATAAGAAATTTCATCTAACGAGGGGAAACTATTGTGATGAAACTATTGATATTCATTGAAGTTATTGAATCTAAATGAGATAAAAATCTAATGAGAATTAATACTTTTTGTAAGGTATTTTATAATAAAATAAAATACAAATTCAAGAGTTTTAACACGAAAATAGCATGTTTTTTAATACGGTAGTCATTTTCACCATGAAAACAAAATAAAGTTCGCATTTTCTTTTTCATAATAGATTACATTACATAAGCTTTAATTTAAGATATATAAAAAGGTGTCAGTATTTCCTGAACATTTTCAAAAGATAAGTTAAAAATGTTCTACTTTCTATTTGCAATTTTTTAGTTTTAAACCCTCCCTGTTTAAAGCAAATTTCGATTTTAAAAAAAAGTACGTCGAATGAAAGATTTATATAAATACTAATTCTCATTAAAAAATTGTATTTATCCATACATTTTTCAAAAAGTTATAGCATAATAAAGTTAAAAATGTAAAATACAAAATCGAGAATTTTCACACAATAATAGCATTTGGTAGCCATTCTCACCATAAAGACAAAATAAAGTTGAAAAAGTTAATTTTTTGTGAAAAAAATATCATTTTAAATTCTTCCCTATGGGCAGGTAAATGGGCGAATTAAAAAAACTGACACACACAAAAAAAATTAAAACACATCACAGTAAAATAATACTATTTCAGCTTCGTATTGAAGCTAAATATCATATTTGTGACGTTTTTTTCATCAAAATGTTTAAAAAAGTTTTCTCTAAAAACTATAATTTGATTTAGATTTAAAGAACGCAGACGTACCAGAACATTTTTGAAAATTGAAAATAAAGTTTTTAGTTTTATAAAAATGATAATTTTTTATACTAACGTTCGATTTGACATAGTAGAATAATTATTTTTTTATTTATTTTTTAATAAATATGGAGTACATTTCAAATACTTTATAATTGACATAGGTCAAATGATGTCAGACAACATTTTACATAAATTTTTCAAAAAAGTAATCTTTTTCCAATACTTCCTGTATTCGGGTTTTACATTATATTTTCATAAAAAGTATACCGAAATAATGCTTATTTTAATCTATAGTATACTCTATACAGGCACGTAGCCAGAAAATGTTTATTGGAGGGGCCAACAATTTTGGGCCTTTGTATCATTTTCCATAATTCGTTTCCCATGAAAAGCTTGTGGGGGTCTCCCTCCACTCCTCCTTAGACAGTATCCCATACTATGAATCTTACAAGTTCAAAATTTTACCATTGGTTGGTTAAAAATATATTGTTTTCGTATAAAGTATACCAATTATTACAGTATTATAAAAAATGAATGATGTGAACATCATTATTATTATCATTATTACGTCTAGAACGTTATCTTTTTCAAATAACGTTTTCTATGAATATAAAAATGAAAATACAGCCATAATAATAACTGTATTACCCAATAGTAATCACAAATTAATAATAATTTCAATGTATATAAGGCCTAGCACGTTTTTGATAATTCGTAAAAATAATTGAATTCTAAATTTGAGGAGGCAGGCCCTGGGCCACATTAAATCTAAGGGGGGCAGGCCCACCCTTATCTACGTGCCTGACTATATAACATTTTCATTAGGAACTATGATTTAAAAAAAATTATCATTTTTAAAATGAAGAAAAAAAAATTTAAAAACTTACATTTTTTATTGTAACGTAATATTGAGATGTTTTCTTGAGTTTTTAAAATTGACGTGATTTTTTCAATTATCGACGACAATAGGTTAATTTTAATTAAAATAGGATTCTATTGACGCATGGACAAACAAATTATGTCCATCGAGAGCGGAGAATTAACATAGACAGACATAAATAAAAACACATCATGGAAAAATCAATACTCTCTCAGCTGTCTTAGTAATCTAAAATATTTAATATATATTAACTCTTTTTTAAATAACTATAAAAATTATTTAAAAAATAGTAACATATAATATTCACTGGATGAAAAGTTATTATTGGTGTCAGTATATTTTGAACACCTAATATAGATTTTCCCATTTGTATAACTATAATATACTAACTATAGTTATTTGAAATATTTAAAATCTAAAAACCACTAATATTTACTAAGATTGCAAAAGTAAATCATATCTACGGAGCATTTAATTAACATACATAGATAAGATAATACAAAATGTCTAATACATTATATATGTTATACTATAAAATTGATTGATTTAATAAATAAATAAATAAATAAAATATGAAGATAAAAATATAGTAGTTATTATATTTTGTCATTTAATATTGATGACAAAAATAAAAATACTTGTCATTCGTATCTAAGTTCTTTTTTTTTCTACAGAAACACAATGAATTATTCAAACGACATTTTATACCAGTGTCACCAGATTGGCAAGATATGAAGACTAAAGATTTTATGCCTCCAGGCAAAAACGTGAAGAAATACCTATTTAAAACACAAATTAAAAATTTCTTGTTTAAGAATGTTAGCGAAGATCGCATTTCCAATGATTATAATTGTAGCTTTTACAAATCAATAAGTTACTTGATAATTGGAGACAAAGAATTTTATAAGAACATACGTGATTGTATTTACGAGGTAATTTTGAAAAATTAACAATCTTGATTAAGAATTATATACTATATTCGAATTCATTTTTAGAAATTAAAATAATTTTTAAAATACTTTTTTTAAAGTATTTTATAAATGGTTTAAAATGTTCAGCGTATTCAATTTTGAATATTTTTTATTTTATTAATTAATAAGAACAAGAAAATTAAATATATTTTAATACTCAGTTATTTCTATATTTAACCTAATATAATCAACAATTATTACATTTTTAATATTAATTCTCTATATGTATTAATTTAGATAGATATCATGAAGTGACTTAATATTTTCTAAAAGGGAAAAATTTATCTTTTAATTGAAAAATTAAAAATTGTTTGTTTTTATAAACAAATATACTGGTCTACAAGGAATGTTCACCAAAATATACTTTTCTAAACCTATTTTAACGATGATTTCAAATCTACAATTAGAATTTCGCATATGACCTACATAATAACAAAATTTTTCAAATTAATACAAAAAATATATGTATGATTATTAGGTTACGTATGAATAATCAATAAATATATTTTGATTAAAAAAAAAATTGAAAAAGTTCAACTTTCTAAACGCATTTTTAAGTTTTGAACCACCTCTGTATAAAAGGAATGGGTTCAATTTATAAAAAAAAGTATGTCGAATAAAAGAAGTATATAAATAGTACGTATAAAAAAAAAATTGTATTGATTCATACATTTTTCAAAAAGTTATGAAAATATAAAGTTAAAAATGTAAAATATAAAATCGAGAATTTTAACACAAAAATAGCATACGGTAGCCATTTTCATTGTGAAGACAAAGTAAAGTCCGACTTTAAATCAATTTTAAATATTAAATTTTGTTTGATATTTCCCCTATTTACAGACAACGAGGGTGATTTTTTTAGTTTTAAGGGTAATTTCTTCAACTATATAAGATTTGTAATCTTTTGACATATCGTTGAAAATAATCGGCCCGGTGAGAGCTGAGAAAAAGTGCAAACAGTTACCAAAAATAAAAATAAAAACACATCAAAAGAAAATTAATATCTTCTCAGCTTCTTATCGATTATTAGTTATTTGTAAATTTTTGATAACCTTTCGTACCATTTGCACCAGTAAAACTGCCGCACACAAATTCGCATAAATGACATAGATAACATGTTGACCGTGTTTATCAGTGCTGTGTAAATAAAATGCACTTCAGTATGCGCAAATGGAACTGCCCGAATATATATTTATAATATATAAACGGAAATGGTTTAATTTAAAAAAAAAGTATTTCGAATGAAAGTGGTATATAAATAGTATTTATCATAAAAAAATTGTATTGATCCGTACATTTTTCAAAAAGTTATAGCGTTATAAATTTAAAAATATAAAACAGAATTTTTTACAAAAAAAGTATTTTTGTTATTAACATTGATGGCCGTTTTCACCACGAAAACAAAATAAAGGCCGACATTTTTTTTCCATATTAATGTGTATTACATTAGTTTTATTTTAAAATATATATAAAAGCGTCAGTAATTCCGGAACACTTAAGTTAAAGTTAAGTTGAAAAAGTTAATTTTTTGTGAAACTGTCATTTTGAATCCTCTCTTGTGGTCAGGTAAAAGGTCAGATTTATAAAAAAATAATTATATTGATTTAGTCATTTTTAAAAAAATTATAAATTCATTGTGTACATAATTGTTTTGCATATACATTATAAAATGAGTTTTATAAATATCTTATCAAAACCTATATTAATATCAATCTCAATGACAAATATCAGTATTTGAAAATATCGATTTCGGTTCCAATATAAAAAAACAATATTTAAAAATATCAGTGTTGATATTTCTTTGGTGATTACTATTGAATTGAATATTTATTAAAAATATATTTTAACAACGGTTTCAAATCCTGGTACATATTTAAATTATTTTTAACATAAATTAAATTAAATTAAAATGTAATAAAATTATGGTTAAAGTATTAAAATGCTTAAAAATATCTTTTTTATTGTTTTCACAGTCTATGTATGAATCTAAATCAATTACAATGCTTTTGAAAAATAGGGAGTCTCGTAATAACTATATAGAAATATTAAAACGATATAGTAAGTTCTATTTTTAATAAATAGTTTTATAAAATATTAAATAAGTTTGATTAATTATATTTTAATTTCTGAGTTACTTAAATTATTATAAAAAATTAATATTAAATCTCACTTTAACAATATATTATTAATATTCAACAAAATTTTCCATCAAAAAAGTTATACTTGCATTTAAAAATGAATTTTAGTTACAGTATCCTTTAATAACTCACAAAAAGTATTAACTCGGTGCAATAATAATGAAAAACCGCAATATGTAAAAAATTCTTCTGATTGATTGGAAAGAAAACAATTTCGAGATACTGTAAATCATATTATACAAATTCTTGCGATAGATTAGCTGAAAAGATTTTTAGGTCTTATTTTGCTTCAAGATGTTTTATGATTTATTCATGTATTTTTGATAAAATAAATTGTCTTTTAAGCTTCATAACATTTGTTTTCCTCTACAATTTTTCCAAATAGTATGTTCCACTGAAAAACATACTATCTGTTATTTAATCTGTATTAGTTATTTTTTATAAATCTTAAGAATATTGTCCACAATTTTTTCCGGAAAATTGTATACCAGTATACTCTTCATAGATTGATGAAAAAGTGTACCACTGATGATATTTTCAACACTGATTGACTTTACGGTGACTATATTTAACATATCTACTTATTTTATGTAGTAGAACTTGTCTTAAATACCAGATAATTAAAATTTATAAAAGCAAAAATTCTTTTGGTCTTTTAAAGCTTTTATTTACTTAAATTTGAAAAAATGTGTTACGTCATTATTTTGTAATGTAGTTCTAAAAATTTGTAAATGTAACACTGTACAAAAACAAATTTAATTAAGAAAATGACTAAACGATAACAATTTAGGTCCAGATTATTTCTTTTACTAGGCATTTATTATACACGCTCCTCTTCTTGCCTTCAATTTAATTTATGCGGGGTGTTCAATAAGTAAGAAAACGGGTTTCTGTTGTTCTCGTTGTTTGTAACAATTAATCTGTTTCCTTACTCCGTAACTTTAATAATTCTCTAAATAATATAATTTTTTAATGCAATTCATTTTAACATGTACTTTTTAATAATAGTATATATAATAAGTATAGTAATTTTAAATATTTTAGAACAAGACGCTGATACTCCTGAAATATTTGCTACTGCTGAACTTTTAAATACATCAATTTATATATACCACACAGAAGAAAGAGATTGGGATTTTGTAAGCAAAAATGGTCCAGAAGGCGTAGAAGAGATTGAACCTTGTATATATTTAGCTTACGGAGGATGTGACAGAAAATTGTATAGCGTTGTGTATAATGTATCAAAACAGGAATATAAACCTGAAAAACTTGAAAGTTTATTTGAAAAATTTTTAAAAAAAATAAATGTTTTAGAATAACAATTGTGCTATACTAAAAATTAACATGATATAATTTTCATTTTACTATTTATAAATGTCTACAACTAGTTAAGTAATGTTTGTTACGTATAAATCACATTAAAAATTAATTGTACTAATGTAGTGTTTTTACTATATGTAATTATCTTAATTTATAAATCATATTCTACCCAATCATGTGTCATAGAAGCACCTTATTTTTCAGTAGGCTCTAAATTTAGATTCTAGTGAGTTGATTATTAACCAAGCTACTATTCACTGATGTAAACTTCTAAGGACCGAACACGCACAAAAAATTTTTGAGAAGATTCATGAAAAAATATTAGATCAGTTACTGTTAATTTCGATGGTATTCTCGATTTTTCCCGGAATAATTCAACTTCTTTAATAACCAATTGAGCACTGGGTTCGCAAGTTTAATTTTACTCTTCTCATACTGTAAAAAAGTGCCCTTAATACTTGAATATTTGATGGCAACTTTGATCCGACAATTTGATTTTCATCATAATTAATTAAGTAAATTTTGTTTCTTAATTTGGTGTCCATTATTAAAAGAACCCAGTACAGGGGGGTCGCGGCACAGTGGTGATGTGCATAGTTGGATCAAGTTGTAATGGTACAGTTTAGACGAAAAGTTGTAAATGTACTATTATTGTATGATTACTCGTATTATTGTATAATATGCGGCAACATCGTGTGGGACTTTTGCATTCGCGTTATGTGGTGGCGGCGCTGGAAAAATGTTGTCGTGCCTAACACAGTGATAAGAAGATAATATAGTTGGTTGGTTATGTTTTAAAAAAAATGAAATAAAATACGAAATGATATCTGATTGTTAAAAAATGAACACGTTGTTTGTTTCATTCTCTCTAAATAAAAATTAACTAGTAACAATAAGATTTAATTCATGATGAATTTAAATGGAAATATCAACAAACAATGTTTGAGAGAACAGCGAATAAATACACACAAATGTCAACTATATTAGAACTCCTACATCAACGAACAATTCATCACCAATACAACTGAAATTAAGGTTAGAAATATCAATACCACTAATCGTACACATACTAAATAGTACATAGAAATGAATATGTTTTATTGTTGTATATATTGATATTTATATATATTTTTAAATTGTTGTTTAATACAGAAACGAATAAATACTTCTAAATGTTAACAAATTGTAATCAAAACCAATTATTTTAATTTGTAAAATAAATTAAATACCATTTCAAAGTATAATGATATCTGACAGTGATTAAAATTATTATCAAAAAAAAAAACGCTTTGATGCAATAGTAGATTGTAAATACAAATTTAAATTAAATTAACGTAAATTTTCAATGTTATTAAACTTCCTAGTCTATATTTAACAAAACGATAGTACAGTTGGATGGCGGTACAGGTCGGCATGGAATAGTTGGGACAAGTATAGATTATTAACAGACAGTGATTAAAATCACAATCATAAGAAACGCTTCGATGCAAATCTATATATAGTGTTTAATTTTAAAAAATTGGTGTATTATTCCAAAAGTTACATTATCTGCTAGTTCCTTATTAATATCCTGATTAAGATACAGTATGTCGAATGAAAAAGGGATTATCCCAATAACAGTAAAATAGTGTTATCATAATAATCGCAAGGATTTCGACATATTCTTTAGTTCGGTATATAATGACAGAACTAAGTCCACATTTTATACAAACAGCTTGATGTAAAAAAATTCCCAGACCAGATTAAAATCGTAATATTAATGATTGATTTTTAAACCACTTTTGCGCTGTATAATGTACATATTCGTAGGAAAGAATTAGATTTAGAAAATATTTTACAAAACAATATTTGTACATCATTTTAAAATCTAAATTTTATAATTTATATAGATTGTGTAAAAATTTGTCGATTACGCTAATAAAGACTGAATTATACAAAAAATTAGAATCGGGAAAAATCGGCGTATTTACATGTTTTATTAATTATTCAATTAAATATGTAATATAGATTAAAAAATAATATAACATATTTTGTAGGAAATACGTTTTTCATCAAATTTTAATCCGTAAATTTTTTTGATTCAAGTAAAATTTAACAAGTTATACATAAAAAACTAATTTTTACCCCTATTTATTAAATTTTAACCCTCCTGCGGCACGGGAAAAAATCATTGAACAATCACGGAACTTCACAAAATGTATTTTTTTAACCTATAGAACAATTCTAGGGAGCGTCCGGGCAAAAAAATTTTTGAAAAATAAGAACTACCCTAATGTGCACGCTTATTAATTATAGTTCTTGTTAAAAACTCATGTTTAGCATGATTTGATGTAATTTTTAAAAATCTAAACTTTAAGTATTAGTTTGCTAAGAAATACTTTTCAAACTTCTTATTTAAATACTCTAAAAGTACTACTTAAGTGCAATAAACTTATAAAACAACCATTTTTTCAACAATAGACCATATTTTATTCCTCTCAATATATTGAGTTATGCAAAATTTTCTGTATTTACTTGTTAAGCTTAACAGTTTTTATAGACCTTTAAATATGAGTTTGGTGGGCAATTTTCATAAAAAGAGCAGAACTTTTCACTGTAAATTATTATTGGGTTAGTCTCACAATTATGTAGTTGCTATCATTGGTAGATAAGTTTGTCAGGATGCTAAAAGTATCAGCCTTTGTTTTTACATAGCAAAAATCTTCAAAATTTTAACTAAAAAAATGAAATTAATTGAATTTAATAAAAAAAAAAATGACCTATGTAGATAAGGACCACCCTAGTGCACATGTATGAGTTCTATTAGATAACAAAGTATACCGTAAAAGGTTTTTATGGTAGCTAGCATGTGATTGATTTTGAAAAAAAATGAATTCGTCATTTTTCCCCGTCTCCCGTTCAAAAAAATAAATTCATTGCAAAAAAAAATTTGTTTAAAAAATGTTTTTATATTGTTCGATTTTAAACATGTTACTGCTGTTTATAGTTTAGAGGCGATCAGAAAAAAAGCATACTATATTTAAAAAGACGGAATATTTGTTGGATCATAAATTGGTAAGTCCTAAAGGTTTGAAACATCATGAGAGGGGGTACACTGTACAGTTATCGTATTTCTATAAACTGGTAGTATTTATGGATATATGACATTAAAATAATTTTGTGTTTTAAAAATAAGTACGATTTTTCTGGTTGTCCATAAATTTGTACAGCTGTAAATTGTTGAAAATCAAATAATATAAAAAGAAATTTTAAACATAAAATTTTTTTTTTCATTTGAATAAATCTGATGATATAGATAAAATTTGGGTTGTAATTTGAAAATCGAATGCTGATACGAGTTATAGTATAAGAGATGGTAGTGGAAAATTAATTTTTCGTGTAAAGCAGCTTAGCACAAAACCATCATTGTTAAAGAATAAATTAATAATGATTAACCTTAATATTTTTGAAGATATTTCGTGTGATTAGGAATCATCATATAATCAGTTTTACATCCTTTTATAACCCAAACTTAACCTGCTATGAAGTGTGGTTGCCCTCTTTCACATGTTAAGGAGTCAAAGATGTTTCTTGGCTAAGCAAATCATGAATGGAACAGATATTATGGTCGGTTTGCACCAGAGACCAGATAACACCAAGGAGTAAATCAAAAGAAAAATCTAATTGGCACCTTAAAGATCGAACCCAGGATCCTATTCCCCAAAACATATGTTTCTATCCACTAGGCCAGACCGACCCTCAGGAATCACCAAGAAATTAATACATTTTAGTTTCGATGCGAAGCTGAGAAGGTATTAATTTTACTATGATGTGTTTTTTTTTTTGTGTCTGTTACCACTTTTCTCAGCTATCACTGGAACGATATCTTTCAACAATACGTCAAAAGGTCAAAAATCGTATCTTGTCGAAGACATTACAATCCAAAATTGAAAAAATTTCCCTCATTCCCCATAAATGGAGAAAATCGCCAAAAAAAAAATAAAAATTTAAAAATCACTAATTTTCGAAATTTTTTTATTTTTTTTTTTTTACTAACTGCCATAACTTTTTTAAAATGACAAAATCAATATAATTTTTTTTATATAGATACATAATGTCTTTACTTATTATTTGATATATTTTAGCTTCGATGCGAAGCTGAGAAGGTATTAATTTTACTATGATGTGTTTTTTTTCTTTATTTTTTTTTGTGTCTGTGAACGCTCAATCTCAGCTCTCGCTGGACCGATTTTGATGAACAATATGTCAAAAGATCACAAATCGTATCTAGTCGAAGACATTACCCTCAAAAATTGAAAAAAATTCCCTNTCAGCTCTCGCTGGACCGATTTTGATGAACAATATGTCAAAAGATCACAAATCGTATCTAGTCGAAGACATTACTCTCAAAAATAGAAAAAAATTCCCTGGTTTCCCGTAAACGTGGGAAATCCCCCAAAAAATTATAAATTTAAAAATCGCTAATTTTCAACATTTCTGCAATTTTTTTTACTTAAAATTACCATAACAATTTTAAAAATGATCGAATCAATATAATATTTTTTTTTATAGATACTAAGGTATTCACCTATCATTTTATGTATTTTTGTGAACATTTGACCCTTTACAAAATTATTATTTTTTTATAATAAATTTTTATATGACCCTTTTATCTGACACGCTTTTTTTGTAAATCGGATCATACCCTTTTATACAAGGGGTGTCAAAACTTTAAACATGCGTATTGAAACTAGGTCATTTTCAATTTAATTTTTGAAAGTATTCCGGAAATACTGAACTTTTATATATATCTAAATTAAAGCTTATGTAGTACACTTTAATTTGAAAAAAAAAAAATTTGACCTTTGGATTTGTCTTCATTGGTAAAAATGACTACCGTATTCAAAAATATGCAATTTTTGTGTGTAAAATTCTGGGATTTTTATTTAATTTTATTTTAAAATACCTGACAAGAGCAGTACAGATTTTCATAAATATTATATAAATAAAAAATTGATATAGCATAGAAAGTTAAACTTCTTAAATTTTTTTGCTTTTTGAAGTCGATAAAAATAATTTTGATATTTGAACTAGTTTAAATTGCCAATTTTTTCAGCCGACTGTAGCAATGTACGGTTT